TAGTTCTGCACCTACAGCACGTCTACGAGGGTAGTTCTGCACCTACAACCCGGCCAAGCCTGACCACGACTGACTTCTTGCCCTGTTTTTATATTCCCTCTTAAAAAAAAAGTCTCTGTTATTTGTAATGGAAAGATCTGGTCAGTGTTACTGGGCCAATGAAGGCTTTGAACGTAGGGATACTGCCAACATGCACTCACCCTTCTTCCAAACTCTTCCCCTTGCTTCACTTCCCGCGGGTAGCCGTCGATCAGAAAGCCCCTGGTGTTTCCCAGGCTGGCCACCATGGCCTCCTTCAGCAGCTCCAGGATGATACCCTACAGCAGAAAGAGTGGTCAGCCCGGGGCCGCCACAGCCCCAATTCACAATGCACGTGACTCCTCAGACATTGTCTGCGGAGGGAGGACTGGCCAAGCGGATCAGCAGATCTCCCAGGCCAACCTTCACGAGACACCCTCCTCTCCCGCCACCTGCATGTCTGTGGTGTTGGCTGTTTCAATCAGGTCTGGGCCATGCTCCCTTGGTGAGGGGTTTCTTACTGGTCTGTCCTTACTACTGTGATCTAACTAGGAACTCTCCAAACATGGCATTTTACACCCCAGGAGACCGGCTAGCTCTGTTTCACCCGGCAGCCTCTGAACAAACGGCATCGTGGCAGATTGGGGCAAACGAGACACTGCTCAGAACATATTCACCACGGATGTCCTCCCAGGAAGCATTATACGCAACTTGACGTGTGCTAACTTGAGAAGACTGTGAGACTGAAGAACTATTTCTCTAGCAACATGTTTCCCCCATTCAAACAATGATTTAACAAATGATTGTGGAAACTAAGAACGCGGAGGCAGGGAGAGCGCAGCGTGGAGGGAAAGGCCTGTGGAGGAGTGGGGGGGGGTCATTCTCTAATTTTTGGCAGGAGCCTGAGGGAATGCAGATGTCACAGACATGCCTAGAACCCTTCCCTAAATAATTGGGAGTTAATTCTTCATCAGCTTCACAGTCTAATAAGGAAGAGAGACGATGACAGACAATGAATAAATGGCAGCTGAAGATCACAGGCAATGGAAGCAGGGCCAGGGCCAGAGCAGAGCAGGGACGCTTTTCCCCAGGGTGGCCTCTTTGATGAGTTGTGGCACGTGGGCAGCGCTCTGCCGGAAGCAAATAGGCCAGCTAGAGAATGCCTGTGGCCAGCACTCGGGCTGAGGCGGCAGCACAGAGGTAGCGCAGCCTGACCAGGAGGGAGCTACATGGGAGCCAGCACTGTGAGGGCAGTGGAGGAATGGCTCTAGGTGATGAGGAGCTTTGAGGAATAATTGGTTTTGGGTGGGGACATGGATCCGTGGGTCAGAGCGTTTGCGATGAAAACATGAGGTCCTGAATTCAAATTCCCTAGCGCCCGTACTGAAAGGCTAGGCACAGCAACACACACCAGCAGCCACCCACAGTACCAGGAGGCAGAGACAGGTGGATTCCAAGATCTTCCTGACCATCCAGCCTGGCCAAAAGGTGAGCAGGTTCAGTGAAAGGCCTATCTCAAAAACTAAGGTGGGAAGGAATAGATGGAAGAAGACACCTAACCTCCTAATATTGTCTTCTGGCCTTGAAACACACACACACACGTAAATAAAATATATGCTGCTATGTAGCTTGCTTTCTTTCTCCATCTTATACAGCCCATGACTGTGCTGACTGCTTTTTGTCAACTTGACATCAACCTAGACATACGGGGAAGGAAGAACCCTAACGGAGGAATTGCCTCCATCGTATTGGCCTGTGGGCATGTCAACGGGACACTCTCTTGTGGACTGATGTGGGAGGGCCCAGTCCTAGGTAGAAATATGCTTTTCCTGGCAGGCGAGCCTGGGCTATATAAGAAAGTAGGTTTGAGCAAGCTAGGGAGTAAGCCAGCCGGCAGCGTTCCCCTGTTTCAGTTCCTGCCTCGAGCTTCTGCCTTGGCTTCCTCAGTGATGGAGTGTGACCTGGGACATGGATGAACGGTCTCTACCCATCTGCTTTTGGTCCTGGTATTTATCCTCGCAATGGAGAGGCTCCTAGGACAGGGTCCCCCACTCGGAGCACGGTCCCGTCCACAGTCAAGTGGTGTCCTCTCACACCAATGAGCCCTAATCTCCCCTGGGCATGCTCACAGAACCGTCTGTCTATCACGTGGACAATTACCACAGCACAGCACACCACCACTCCAAGGAGATTTCAGTTCCTTGAACTTTCTGATTTTAGCTTTCCACACCACCTGCGTTTTGAAGATTTTACCTAAAGCAAGGCTGGATTTGGAAACACAGGATCCAGGTCGACATTTAAGCGGCTGGCCACGGAACAGCTTGGAAGGCGAGTGGTTGTTGGCACAGACGACGGCCACCATGGAGAATAACCAAAGCTGTTCCTTGGCCTTAAGGTTTCTCTGTCTTGGTGGTCCATTCTGCCACAGCAGCCAATGGCTTGATGCCGAGCATGGAGAGCAGGGAGGAGAGCAGGGTAGGTCTCTGCTTACCGAGGGCACCAGGTCTCCACGCTCCATGACGTCACGGATCAGTCTGCTTCTTTCTGACTCTGAGGCCAGTTCCTGGCGCAGGAGCTCACCAGTAGAGAGATGAGTGAATCCATATTTTTCTGCCAGTTTTTCACACTGGGTGCCTTTGCCGGAGCCGGGGCCACCTTGGGAAGGAGACATGTCAGGCATGCATCTCAAATCCACTGCCTCCTTTTGGGGGGGACATAATAATTATTTTTTTCTAGTGGATCTTCATTGTATAAAATAATGGTTTCCTGATGGCATTTCATGCATGTTTACCACATGCTCTGCTCACTCACCCACAGCTCCCTGTCACAACCCTGCAACACCAGACCCGTCCTCTTCCCAAATGACCAACTTTCTATTTGCATGTTATGTATGCATGTGCGATCTAGATTCTGTGGAGGAGACACAATGAGTGCATTCATCAGTGCCTTCATTTCTTTTTCTTTAATGTGTGCATGTTCATGTGTATGGGGGTGCATGTATGTGTCCATGCTTCCAGAGGTCAGAGGACAACCCCGGGTTCATGTTCAGGAATGCGTCTGCCTTGCATTTTAGACAGGCTCTCATTGATCCAGAGATTCACTGGTCTAGAACTCGCCAAGTCAACTAGGTTGGCTGCACCATAAGCTGCAGGGATTGCCCTGCTTCCCTCCCCAGTGCTAGAACTCAGAGCACATGACATCTGTCTTTTCTCCCATTAGGAATCATTTATTTTGTGTGCTTACATGTGCAATGGTGCACACATGGAGGTCAAAGCACAGCTTTTGGAGTCAGCTCTCTCCTACCAGGAGGGTTCTGGGGACTGAAGCTTCATGGCAGGCACCTTCATCTGCTGAACTTTCTCGTCAGCCCTCCAGACTTTTAAGATTTATTTATTTTTATTTCATGTGTATAGGTATTATGTCTACATGTGTATCTGTGTATTATGTGCATGCCTGGTACCTATGGGTCCAGAAGACAGTGTCATAGTCCCTGAATCTGGAGTTATGGGTAGCTGGGGTTGAGACTTGAACCTGGGACCTTGGAAGAACATCTAGTGCTCTTAACCATTGAGCCATCTCTCTGGCCCCACCCCTGTGGAGGGCCGGACCACATTCTCCATTGCTTCTAGGAACAAAGGTAGAGATTGACCTCTGTGACCCCAAGGTGTGGCGGTACACGCCTTTAGTCCTGATGCCTGGGCGGCAGAGGCAGATTGACCTCTGTGACCTCAAGGCGTGGTAGTATACGCCTTTGGTCCCAATGCCTGGGAGGCAGAGACAAGCAGATCTCTGTGAGTTCAAGGTGATGTAGCACACGCCTTTAATCCCAGCGCACGTGCTTGGTAACTCTCTACCGCTGAGTCCCTGCCTACTCCCGAGGCATCATCTGGGATAATGGGCAGTAAACCAATCAAAGAGTGACACGTCCAAAGCAGGGTCTGTTTCCTATATAAGGGATGGGTTCCATCTTATCTGGGTCTCCGCCATGTTGGCTGATGCCCGCTCTCCCAAGGGGCATTAAAGCTTTTCTGCAGAAGGATCCTATGTGTACCGCGTGGTTCTTGCTGGCGAGACGGTAGCGCGGGACACACCCCTGGCTTTTTCTATTCTGGAGATTGGACTCAGGTCCTTGTGCTATCCAGGTAAGCACATTCCTGGCCCTCAGCCCATCACCCACTCTGCGGGTGGGCTTCTGGGCGGGCTTCATGCCCTGTCTGTAACAGTCTACAGACAGTGCAGAAGCCCATCTGACATGGGGGTCATTCGGTCCACTCGCCTGTACACTTCAGAATGGATGCCCAAGAGTGGCATGGCTGGCCATAAGTATCTACAGCTTTTGTCCTGTGATTTTGCTGTTGTCACCGTGGGGGTAAGCTGTAGTACTTCCTTCACCAGACATGTACAGGAGCCTTATGACATCCAGCATTGTGCTGGGACCCACGGCCACACACACACACACACAGTGTGGAGCATGGGTCAGTCCTGAAAACAGGTAGCTTTCTGTGGAGTGGAGGGTGCTGGGGCATCACAGCAGCTGTGAGCAGGGGTAGGTGCTGCGTGGGAGGAACTCAGCCTGCTCCATGGCCTGGAGACAGGGCATCCACACCTCCCCTGCAGCACGGACCTCCAGGGACAATATCCTACACTTAGTGAATTCTTAAGAAACCCCGGCCATTCATTTTGAAAGATACTGCTTGTGGCTTACAGTCTCAAATATTTGTAATCCTATGAAGAGCCGTAAGAGAAGACTAAAGAACGCGCCAAGTGTGAGGATGGTGCGGGTGTCTCATCCCTCTAGAGCTCTCCAGCGTCCCTGCTACACACGGGACCAGAGTTCCCGCCCCGACACGGTTCCATCCGCAGGCCGCCTTTGACTTGCAGGCAAGCACGCAGATGGACCCAGCAGTGTCCTTGAAATCCAACGACCAGAGCCCCACATTTCTCTTCTGGTCACCGTCAATGTGAAACACCCCCCCCCCCCCCCGGGTTTCTTGGTCACTTTTTAGGTTCTCCCTCAATGAATGTTTTCTATTTTTCTAGCTGTTAATAAATAATTCTGAGTATCTGGCCTAGCCCTAGTGGCGCACACTTTTAATCCCAGCACTTGGGAGGCAGAGGCAGGCGGAGCTCTGTGGGTTCGAGGCCAACCTGGTCTACAAGAGCTAATTCTAGGACAGGTTCTAAGGCTACAGAGAAACCCTGTCTCAAAAAACCAATAAATAAATAAATAAGTAAAATTCTGAGTATCTTCCCTATTGACTTGAATATTGCATTTGACGCTTTCCTTGCCCTTCCCCAAGTTTAGCTAGTTGCCAAGTTGGAATATTTTACATCTAAAAATAATAGCTAACTTTTAATAAATGCCCATGGTCCCAGACACTACTCAACCTTTCTATGCATCAATTTAGAATAGCAGAAGAGGCAGGCATTGTGATAATGTCCATTATACAGGTGGGAAAATAGAGGCAGAGAGAGGTCTAACTCCCTTGCATGTGTAGTAGGCTCTAACCTAGAGTTTGAAGCTGGAGCTCTGCTTGGCAGAGGTGTGCCTGTCTCCCCTACACTGGGGCCACATTTTGTCTCCTGATGCTCTTAGCCTAGGAAGAGTACAGCCTTCATTCAGTCCCTGCTCACAGGGTGGGTGAGGCTCTGGAGTGTACGGAGCTGCTGCCATGAGAGTCTACCCGAAAGCACAGCATCCTCCAGCTCCTGAGTGGTCAATGTTGTCCCATGTCCCGCGGAGCAAAGCGCAAAGGTTGGGGCAGTGACACTCTGGTCTTTCGGCATCTTGTCCCATTCTCCCTCTTCCACGTGTTCCTTTCTCACCCCTTAAAAAACTGATAAAAAATTAAAAGTAACCTTCTGATATGTCAAAGAAACCCAGCAGGGCTGTTCCACACTGAAGGTGACCAGAAGAGAATGTGGGGCTCTGAATGGTTTGCTGGCTTTCAAGGACACTGTTGGGTCCGTCAGGATGGCTCCACTGCAAGTCAAAGGCGGTCTGCAGATGGAACCGTGTGTGTGTGTGTGTGTGTATGGGGGGATGACTCTGGTCCCGTGTGTAGCAGGGACGCTGGAGAGCTCTAGAGGGATGAGACACCCGGCCATCTTCACCTCACACTCGACACACCCTTCATGCTTCACTTAGAGCTCTTCTGTGTCTTTACAAATCTTTTTAAACTAGTCCCTTCTAGAGGACCACGAAGCATTCACTCTTCCTGATTCAGCTTCAGACACTAGGCTTTCCTCTTTCTATGCCCTAGCTTTTAGAGAAAAATTAAACTATATTTACTTTATTTATTTGATGTGTGTGTGAATAACTGGTGCTCATTCATGTCTCCTAATTGCAGCTTCCTGAAAAGGGAATAATTGAAATAAACATGCAAAACACAATTGAGATTCTAGCCTGAATCCCGGCTCTCTTGGGCAGTGGAACTTGCTACCAAGGGATGCCAGCGCCTGACCCACTTTAGCGGAAGGGCCTCTCAAGCTCCCTTCCTTGCTGTGGCAGACAAGCCAGGAAGGATACATGCGTTCTGTCATCCAGATAGTTGCTGGAAGCCAAGTGCGGGAGATTCAGACACCTCCACGGTACCGCACAGAGGGCCCAAACATACTAGGAAACCAGCAATTACAGAAGGCAGCAGAAACGAGACAGACCACCCCAGGAGTAGCTGTCCACTAACGCCAGAGCTGCCCCAAGCAGGGACTCTTGCTTCCAGCTGTAACAGGAAGGGAGAGTGTGGGGGACAAGAGATGACACGCAGAGGGAGAAGTGCTTCCAGGTAAATGACTCAGGGGAGTTCTCAGCTGAGCTCTGGGAGGCCGCAGGATTTTCGTGGTGTGTTTTTACCTGGAAACTCTTTTCCTGGGATGGCTGGTGGCTGGCCATGTGGGGAAGATATTTTCTGACAAAGACACCGTGTTCCAGTTATTTCCTCCTTCTAGCCTTCTACTATTATGACTATTACAGGTTTGCCCCTCTGAAATGTTGTTTAATAAATCTTGACACAAAGGCAATTAAAAGGCTCCATCTCGAATTAACAACAGCTGTGTGCAGGGGCGCTCGCTGCCCCAGTTAGAAGCCTGCTGTGGGAGCAACAGCTGCGGATTCTTAGCATTTTTGGGCCGAATGGTGCAGGCAGTGTGGAATTTTAAGTAATTCCTGTACAATGGCATGATTCTTCCCTTGACTGCAAACTGGGGAACAATCTGATTTTCTCACTGTAAAAAGCACAAAATCTGCTAGCGGCTGCATGGCTTTTCATCCTGTCTCTAATATCAAAGTCCTAACATAACACTTTTAAATAAAGGGGGGTTTGATGTCCCTCTAGGGTAATTTGATACATGGGACAGAATTCTTTTGAAGAATCCCATCTCAGGGCAAAGGGCCTGTGCTCTCCGATGGCCGGGTGACTGATAAAGACAAGGGGCTGCCCCAATTGCCGCCCCCTCACTGATGTGGAGCCCATGGTTACTGTGGGCTCTTGTCCCTCAGTAGACCCTTATGCAGCCCCACATGGTATGACTTAGAGTCTAGATGAGATCCCAATTTGAAGGTAAAAAGAGCAGAAAATCCTTACTTTCAATCTCAAATGGGATTTTAAAGGATTGGGCTGTTGAATTCTCCATGGTAACTGAAGTTGCACTGGTGG